CGCCTGGCTGCAGATTCCTTTTTAGAACGCAAACTGGCCATTATTATTTCTGCTATACCAACCCTGCCACTATTTCCCAGAAATTTCAAAATTTCTGGTTTATATATCTGAATAAGTAATTTCATCATTCCAAGAGTGAATTACACACTTTAAGCTCATGGGAACATCAGAATCCCCTCTGAGACTACAACCAGATTCCAGTGCCTAGCTTATTCCTCCTTTAATATATCCTTAGTCGTGGTTGTAATATTACTAGAGTGCAAAAGAACATAGTAACAAAAAAAAAGGTTTACATCTTGGTCAATGCTGAGACTCATGATCAAGAGGTGCCCCTATTGGCTGCCTCAGGATGGGGAGATTGATTACCATTTGGCCATGTTTTTTACCCAGTTCTCTTATAGGGGTCTCACATAATCTAATGGATACATTTAATGCTTTTCTTTTGGCTTAGTTTGATTTCCTCTGCTTCTTACCATTCACCATGTAGTTCAATATCCTAAATGGTCTTTTTTAATGTGTATAAATAAAATAACATGTCTGAGATTTGCCTCAAAATATGCCAGGGGGACCTGTAAATGAAACAAGGTTGGCCATGACTGGTCATCTCTGAACCTGGGTGATGAGTACAAAAAAGGTTCATTATGCTTCTGCCTCTGTAAATGTTTAAATCTTTTTTCCACTACAATTCATATGAATACTGTGTTAAGAAGTGTTATCATTCTGGTTTGAGGGGTTTAGTTTTTTTCTCTTTTGTTTCGGAGAATTTATGTGTAGCTTTCTCCTGGACGGCCAGGCTAATTAATGATCTGGTTTACTCTGGGTGGCTGTAGGAGGGTGGCCATTTTCTAAAAGTCAGGATACAGACACTTTATTTAGAGACTGCTGCTGATCTATGAGCCAGAGCCAATGCTGAGTTCTATAAAACCCACACTTGGGGCTCCCTTATAGGCAGAATTCCATCCACTGTTCATGAAAGGCTGGTTGAAAAGAAGATGGCCCCCCTTGGCTCTCCTACCCCAAACCTGCAAGTGACTCAGGTAGAGAAGAAGAGGCACTTCAAGTCCATGGGGAGAAGGGGGACGAAGAGGAAGTGGCACAAAAGACACCTGGTTCCCAAGAGAACTTAGCTCAAAAGTGGAAGGCTCAGACCACACTGGGTGTCAGTCATCAGCCTGACAAACAATGGGTTAACTAAGGCTGTTCTAATTTGAAACACTGAGAATTACAGGCCCAAGAGAATGACAGTATCTGGCAAATATATCTTGAATTAAAATGAATTTTGCTTTATTCCTTTTCTCTTTCCCCTGGAGTGGGGGTGGGAACTCTTTAGTTGAAGGATCACCAAGGCTTTCCTGATTTTCAAAATTGATCTCTCTCTGGAATGTTGCTAGAATGCAAAGAGTGCAATTTTTCCAGAATCATTTGCTTTTTCAGGGATCTGAACACTGGAATATTTCTGTGTTCTCATTGCAGCTCAGCTCTCTGTCAGACCAGCCTCAGAAATGTTAATAATTAGAAAGAAGCTGGGTGCCTTTCTGAGGCTTTGTTTCTTTGTATCTTGAATTTTTTCTCTGTAGTGTTGACACTAAAAGCTGTTCCATTTGAATAAAATCAGAGCCATCAACAAACTGTGTCCTTACACAGCCCAATGTCATGGTTGTTACATAAAAATGATTCTCATCAAATTAAAGAATAATCTCCAGATTTTTTAAATCATCCACCCCATCAACAAAAAAATAGGAAACATACATACACATACACACAAACGCATACACTTGATCTTTAACAATTCATGCAAACACGTAATTTGGGGAAAGGAAACCCTATTTAATAAATGATGCTGGGAAAACTGGCTAGCCACGCCTCATCTTTTCATACTTAGTTGAATAAAGCAATTTATTTGCATAATTTAATTGAATATAAATTATTCAATTATTTACTTACAAATGATAGCCCTATTGAAATAATGGGAAGATAGCATCAAAATATATAACAGTGTGCTATGCCCTCTTCTAAGCATTTTACGTATATGAATGTTTTATCTTTCTAAGAACTCTATCAGATGGGTAATGTTGTTTCTTCATTTTGCCAATGAAGAAACTAATGCACGCAGAGGGTTAGTTACTTACCCAAAGGAATGGGAATGCCATTAGGAAGAGGCAGAGCCAGAATTCAAACCCTGATCATTCGGTTCCAGAGTCTATCTCTTAAGTAGTAGATTAGTACATGATAGAACAGAAAGACAAAGAAGGGGGAAGGAAAGGCAAAGGGAAAAAAACGAAGGGAAAGGAATGAAAAAAAATAATCACCAACTGAGATTTTTTGAAAGAAAATTAGAACATTTTCTTTTAAATTTTCTTCTTCTTCCAGCCTTCACAATGTATCATCTGGCACACTACCAGGGGCTCCTACCTCCTCCCCATACCAGGTTGGAAGCCATTAACCTAAATGTTGCTTCTTTGGAAGCTGGTAGAAGGTCCTCTGGGAGGGCTTGAGAGCTACAAATTCTGCAGCTAATCCCTGGTATTCAGTGTAATCGGGGTGATTCAGGACTTTTGATGGCACGAATAAGTTTCCATGTCATAATTGCTTGTCTAGGTGTGAATCAATGTTCTCACCATCTTCTGGCTACATTTCTGGGCACCATTATACTTTGCTTACATTCATATTATTATTTATTATCTGGAGAGCTTTGTCCTGTATTGTCAGGAAAACAAGGAGATGCTGAGAAAAAAAAATTAATGCCGAGGACTAAAGTGACCATTTGTAATATAGTCTTAGAACTGAGGGGGTATCTGGTACCCCATGGCCATTGCCAGCTTCATGCCCAGCCAAAGAGGAAACGGGCACCAAACATGATAAAAAACTCTAAATGCCATCCCTACTGGCCATCCAGGGAAAATATTTTCATGGTGTAAGTTTTGCCCTCCCTTCTCCACCACATTGAAGTCAGTGCCCAGGAGACCTAGCGATATTTAAAAGTAGAGATGATCTAGACTTTCCAAATGTCCCAACCAAGACCAACCTCACTATGTGCCAATCCTGGTGGATTGAGCAAGTCAAGTGAGGATGAGTGCAATGAAAGTGGACCTGTTATCTCTTAGGAAAGGAGGAAGATGACTCACATTTTACTAAGTGCATTTCACATTCCTTATATCCTATCACCTTACGGCTGCAGAAAATGGGGAGAGTGAGGCACAAGTAGGGCTCACATCAGGCCTCATACTCTCTGTGAGGCCCACCTGATTGGGCCCCTGGCTACTCTGTGGCCCTACTTCCTACCACTCTCCCTTTAGTGACCAGCCTTAGTCACCTTGTGCCAGACACTGTCCCTCTTGCTGTTCCTGTAATGTGTCAAGCAAGCACCATCCGCAGGCCAGTAGCATATGCTGCTACCTCAGCCAGAAATATACATCCCAGAAAGCCACCTGCTCAGCCTCTTGCTTCACTCAGACCTCTGCTTAAGCATCACCTCCTTAAAACGCACCTTCCCTGGCCCTTTCGTCTATCATAGCACCTCACTGTACATCCATCACCTGCTTTATTTTTTCCTTCAAAAGCTTTATCTCTCCACAATATCAAATTATATATAGCTATTTGGTATATGGATGTCTCCCCTGACAAAGAAGGGAAACTCTATAAGGACAGAAACATTCTCTAGTTTGTCCTGCAACACATCCTCAATGCCTAGAATGGTGCCAGGTACATATTGAGCATTCAATAAATATCTGTTGAATAAAATTTCATGAGGAGTATAGTCCAAATACAAATCCCCCTGAGTATAAAACTCCTACTCTATTTTCCCTTCAGAAACAATCCATATGACTTATTCTCAGGGCCTGCTGCTTGAGGAAGAGAGTCCTCTCCACTGCCCTCCAGCCCCTCAATACACACAACCACCATCTGGAAGCGCCATCTGCTGCCTCTGGTGAGGCTGAGACATCAGCTGAGGCTGCACAGCACCGCTGTCATCCTGCTCCAGTTACCTCTCATCGTATGGAAGCCTGAGAGCTCCCTCTGAGTGGCACCGTCTCCCCACTGCCCTGGCTCTGCATTACAGCATTTCTTCTCTGAATCTATCATGCAGAACAATGGATTAGCAAACACCCAAGGAAAACACCAAGAACATTTCAGACATGGTGGAGGCAGACACAGCCATGTCAGCATGGAATGTTAGAGACAAGGCCAAGAAAATGAAAAACTGCACAGTTTCAATAACCGAGAAAATTCCAGAAATCAGATCAAGCCAAAGTTGGCTTTTCAGTGAACATTAAATCAAATCCTCTGTCAAGTACTATAAGATCCTTGGAGGACATGGGTATACCCACTGTCTCCTCTCTGGGGATCGGTACACATATCACTTATGTTTTCATTTAAAAGCATGAAATAAGACTTTAGAAAAATAATAACACTGACCCTGAAAGCACCTGAAACTGCAGCTTCGTAGTTTGCTTTTGTGATTTTGATGAGTCTAAAGAGCTTTCAAATAACAAATAGTAAAGAATTAGCAGTGATCAAATTCAGTTGGGAATAACTCTTCTGAGTAGGGAGTTTTATCTGAAATTGTTGTGGCGCAGATCAAGGTCTTCCTCATGCCAGGAGCCTCTCTCTGTGCATTGTGGGTTCTTCTAAGAACAGAACAGCATGTTCCAAAGACTACTTTTCATGATCCTGACCAATGGATCAATATGTTCACTGCTCCTGCAATTGTCCATCTGCCAATGAAGGGAGAAGCAAGTGCCCTGGGGCCCTCATTTCCATCAGAACTAGTTCTTCCCTGCATACCTGATCCTTTCTGTGATTCTTGCCAATTCAGTGGTGAGAACAAAGAGAAAACAGGAAGACTTTTCAGAGTGTGAACCTTGAGGTTATAGACAGGGCTAGGAAAGATTCTCACCAAGATAGGTGCCCCGGGTTCCCACCATGCACATATTTTCTTGGATGTTAAGAATTAGTGAGTTTAGGGAGATTTGATAGTCTAAATTATAAATAAAGGTAAAATGGATGCTGAGTCAGTGCCTTGGCCTGGAAGCTGGCTGCAGACCCTCAGCTTCGCCCACCACCTCCCCACCACGGACCCCCGCAAAGTGAACGAGCTTCGGGCCTTTGTGAAGATGTGTAAGCAGGATCCAAGCGTTCTGCACACTGAGGAAATGCGCTTCCTGAGGGAGTGGGTGGAGAGTTTGGAGGATAAAATACCACCTCCTACTCAGAAATCTAAATCAGAAGAAAATACCAAGGAAGGAAAGCCTGATAGTAAGAAGGGAGAGGAAGACTTAAAGGCAGACGAACCATCGAGTGAGGAAAGTCATCTAGAAATTGATAATGAAGGTGTGATTGAACCAGACACTGACACCCCTCAAGAAATGGGAGATGAAAATGCAGAGATAGCAGAGGAGATGATGGATCAGGCAAATGATAAGAAAGTGGCTGCTATTGAAGCCCTAAATGATGGTGAATTGCAGAAAGCCATTGACTTATTCACAGCTGCCATCAAGCTGAATCCTCACTTGGCCATTTTGTATGCCAAGAGAGCCAGTGTCTTCGTCAGATTAGAGAAGCCAAATGCTGCCATCCAAGACTGTGACAGAGCCGTTGAAATAAATCCTGATTCAGCTCAGCCTTACAAGTGGCGAGGGAAAGCACACAGACCTCCAGCCCACTGGGAACAAGCAGCCCATGATCTTGCCCTTGCCTGTAAATTGGATTATACTGAAGACGCTAGTGCAACACTGAAAAAAGTTCAGCCTAGGACACAGAACATTGCAGAACATTGGAGAAAGTATGAGCGAAAACATGAAGAGCGAGACATCAAAGAAAGAATAGAAAGAGTTAAGAAGGCTTGAGAAGAGCATGAGAGAGCCCAGAGGAAGGAAGAAGCCAGACAAGAGTCAGGAGGTCAGTATGGCTCTTTTCTAGGTGCTTTCCTGGGGGAACGCCTGGTGATTTTCCCGGATGAATGCCTGGAATGGCAGGGGGCATGCCTGCAATGGCCGGAATGCCTGGACTCTGAAATTCTTAGTGATCCAGAGGTTCTTGCAGCCATGTAGGATCTAGAAGTTATGGTGGCCTTCCAGAATGTGGCTCAAAACCCAGCAAATATGTCAAAATACCAGAGCAACCCAAAAGTTTTGAATCTTATCAGCAAATTGTCAGCTAAATTTGGAGGTCAAATGTAATGCCCGTCTGATAAATAAAGGCTTTGCTGAAGGAAAACCAGCCTAGAAAAAAAAAATAATAATAATAAAATAAATAAATAAAGGTAAAATGCCTATATGAACAAATAAACAAAATGTGGTCTATCCCATACAATGGAGTATTACTCAGCCACAAAAAAGGAGAGAAGTACCAATATACCCTGCAACGTGGGGAAAACACTATGCTACGTCAAAGAAGCCAGTCACAAAAGACAGCCTATTATGTAATTTCATTTATATGAAATGTCCAGAATAGGCAAATCTATAGATATAGAAAATAGATTAGTGGTTGTCTGGGGCTGGGGGGCCAAGAGGATGAAGGGATGGGGGGCGACGAGTAAAGGATAAGGGGTTTCTTTCTGGGGCAGTGAAACGTTTTAAAATCGACTGTGGGGATTGCTGCACAGATCTGTGAATGCACAAAAAACCATTAATTGTACACTTATTAATTTATTATTATTATTTTAGATGAAGCTTCGCTCTGTCACCCAGGCTGGAGTGCAATGGCACAATCTCAGCTCACTGCAACCTCCGCCTTCCAGGTTCAGGCAATTCTCCTGCTTCAGCCTCCAGAGTAGCTGGGATTACAGATGGGCACCACCACACTTGGCTAATTTTTTGTATTTTTAGTGGAGATGGGATTTCACCATGTTGGCCAGGCTGGCCTCAAACTCCTGGCCTCAAGTTATCCCTCCCCCTCGGCCCCCCAAAGTGTGTGAGCAACAGTGCCCAGCCTAAATTGTATGCTTTAAATGGGTAAATTCTATGATATATAAACGATATCTTAATAAAGCTATTTTTTTAAGCCAAACAAGATGAAATGCCTAGTCTGCATCTGCCATGATCAATCTTAAAGTGCATCTCAGAGTATTGTTTCTCAAACTGTGCATTGATCATGGAATCAACTTAGTGAATTGTATCAGGCATTTTAAAAACTAAAATAGACCTACAGCTAGCATCATACTGAATGGGAACAAACTGCAAGCCTTTCTTCTAAGATCTGGAACAAGATAAGGATGCCCACTTTCACTACTATTATTCAATATAGTGTTAAAAGTCCTACCTAGAGCAATCAGACAAAAGAAAGAAAGAGCATCCAAATTGGAAAGGAAGAAGTCAAATTATCCTGTGCGCAGATGACATAATTTTATATTAGGAAAAACCTAAAGACTACACCAAAAAACTGTTCAAACTGATAAACGAATTCAATAAAGTTGCACGATATAAAATCAACACACAAAAATCAGTAGCATGCCTATATGCCAACAGTGAACAATCTAAAAAAGAAATCACATATATAATAACCACAGATAAAATAACTAGGAATAAACTTAACGAAAGAAGTAAAAGATCTCCACAATAAAAACTATAAAACACTGATGTAAGAAACTGAAGAAGACACCAAAAAATGGAAAAATATTCCATGTTCATGCATTGGAAGAATCAATCTTGTTAAAATGTCCATAGTCCATACTACTCAAACCAACATAGAGTCAATGCAATCCCTATCAAAATACCAAAGACATTCTTCACAGAAATAGAAAAAAAAAATCCTTAAATATATAAGGAATTATAAAAGACCTGAAATAGCCATACTTAGCAAAAAGAATAAAACTGGAGGAATCACAATACCTGACTTCAAATTATACTACAAAGCTATAGTAACTGAAACAGCATGATACTGACATTAAAACAGACACATAGACCAGAGGAACAGAAGACAGAACCCAGAAATAAATCTATACATCCACAGTGAAGTCATTTTTGACAAAGGTGCCAGAAACATACTGGGGAAAGGACAGGCTCTTCAATAAATGGTCCTGGGAAAACTGGATATCCGTATGCAGAAGAATGAAACTAGACCTGTATCTCTTGTCATATGCAAAAATCAAATCAAAAAGGATTAAAGGCTTAACTATAAGACCTCAAACTATAAAAACTACTACAAGAAAACACTGGGGAAACTCTCCAGGATATTGGTCTGGACAAAGATTTCTTGAGTAATACTACACAAGCATAAGCAACCAGAGCAAAAATGGACAAATTATATCACATCAAGTTAAAAAGCTTCTGCATAATTTAAAAAAATAGACAAAGTGAAAGAGACGGCCCATAGAATGGGAGAGAATATTTGCAAACTATCCATTTGACAAAGGATTAGTAACCAGAGTATATAAGGACCTCAAACAAGCCTGCAGGAAAAAAAAAATCTAACCATCTGATTTTTAGATGTGCAAAAGGTCTGAATAGGCATTTCCCAAAATAGGACATAGACACACAAATGGCAAACAGGCATATGAAAAGGTGCTGAACATTACTGATCATCTGAGAGAGAAATGCAAATCAAAACTACAATAAGACATCATCTTATCCCAGCAAAAAATGGCTTTTATCAAAAACACAGGCAGTAACCAATGCCACCAAGTACGTAGAGTAAGGGGAACCCTCACACACTGTTGGTGGGAATGTATTAGTACAGCCACTATGGAGAACCATATGGCAGTGCCTCAAAAACTAAAAATAGAGCTACCATATGATCCAGCAATCCCTTTGCTAGGTATATATCCAAAACGAAGGAAATCAGTATATCAAAGAGATATCTGCATTCCTATGTTATTCACAATAGCCAAGATTTGGAAGCAACCTAAGTGTTCACCAACAGATGAATGAACAAAGAAACTGTGGTCCATATACACAATAGGGTACTATTCAGCCATAAAAAAAAAAAGAATGAGATTCTGTCATTTGCAACATGGATGGAACTGGAGGACATTGTGTTAAACGAAATAAGCCAGACACAGAAAGACAAACTTTGCATGTTCTCACTCATTTGTGGGAGTTAAAACAATTGAACCCGTGGAGACAGAGACTAGAATGATGATAGTTACCAGAGGCTAGGAAGGGTAGTGTGGGAAAATGGAAAATGGGGATGGTTAATGGGTACAAAAATATGGTTATATGTAATGAATAAGATCTAACACTTGATAACATAACAGGGGGACTACAGTCAGCAATAATTTGCTGTACATTTTAGAATAACTAAGGGAGTACAGTTGGAATGATCATAACACAAAGAAATGATGGATGCTTGAGTTGATGAATCCCCCATTTATCCTGATGTGATTAAACATTGTATGCCTATATCAAAATATGTCATGTACCCCATAAATATACACGCTATTATATACTCACAAAAATTAAAAATTAATTTTTTTCATAAAGAAAAAACTAAAATAAAAACAAAATAGAACATAAAGTATCAGAGTGTATTGCACAGAATAAAGGTTAGTATCATCTCCCAAAGCTTTCATTTCCTGTTGGTGTGTATCTACTGGGTCACAATGTGCTAATTCAAAGACATGTGACTTATGTTTTATGAAGAGCCTCAAGCAAGCAGCATACTTTCTTCATCTGTCTGATCAGTCTGAGTGAGTCTTGCACAACCCTAGACAGTAAGTGGTTTGCCAATTTACTCATCAATGTCCAGAGTCAAAGCTATCATCCAATTTTTCTTGTACTGCCTCCACAATTATTACACTTTGTGTCATCGGTGACACAGTAGTCCAGACTCTGCTATCAGTCTCAATGACAGATAGGAATGTTTTAACCTCTCAAACTATCATTCTGCCAGGTCTTCTAGCATGCTGGGGCATCCACCCTCCTCCACAACAAATTCATGCTTACTGATTACATGGGGTTCCCTGCCAGGCAGCTGAGAGAGCTCGACTCTCAGAACTGAGTTGCTCCTAGGAAGTCCCTTATTTCTAAACTTTCATTGATTGATTTTACAAGTGTCTTCTGACTGCCTGCTACGTGGCATGTGCTCTAGGCAGACAATGGTGAGCAAGACAGGAGTGGCCATTGCCTTGCAAAGTCCCCTGCCTTGTCAGAGTCCAGTTGTCACCAGACAGGTACAGTCTGAAGTTCTTTTAAGGACTGACAAGCATTTGCTGCATGATCTTTGGCAAACTATTCCATCCTGTCACTTTGAGGTTTGATTGCTCAGAAGTTGAGTTTTCTGGCCCACTGAGAATCATGGGATCTTAGACCTGGCAAGGCTCTCAAAGAGCAGAATCTCTATTTACTGATGAGGAAACCGAGACCCAAGAGGTGATATCCTTTGCCCACAGGGACACACAACCCACTAGAAGCATGTGTCCCAGCACCCCAACCCCACCCTACCACCCAACACCTATAGTGAAGCTGAATATGGTCAATTCCTTATGAAGAATTGAGAGACCTTCAAAAGGAAGTACCCTGCTTTCCAGAGGGATTGGCAGTGCAAAATGTTCAAATGGCAAGACGTGTGAAAAAAAAAAAAAAAAAACCAAAGGCATATTTGGATCTTGCAGAAGGGTTTTCAACAATACAAAGGCACAGGAATGAGAACAGCAGGAGTCCCAGTTACCAGGAGCGTTCCCTTAAAGCCTCACGTGTGCCTCCTAATAAATCTGCTTTTTCTTTTTTGAAGTTTAAGTGCTCCCTTAATAAGTGGCCTCCTGGTAGCCAGGAGTCCCTTCGTAAACAATTGTCTTGCTTCCAGTACTGGGGCACTCAGGCTCTGTTGGTTTGGTTTAGTTGATGGGTTGGTTGATGGGTGATTTTTCCCTCCCTCTATCCTCTTAAAACTCCAGCCAGCATACAGGGGTTTTTCATTTAGCTTCCTCAAATCCCCAGCCATTTCC